CTGAACTAGAGATATTTCTTAAATTTCCACTTTAAAACACATTTTCTTGCTTGAAATATGTCAAACAATGCCCTATACTTGGGGTATCACAACTTTTTTCTTGCTTATTTATGCTTGTAAATGGAAGAAAAGCCCCCTGGCCTGTTTTGGTAGCTGAACCGAAGATATTAAAAATATGACTTGAATTTCACTTAGAACACATTTTCTTTCTTAAAATTTGCTTGAAAAAATGTCGCACAATGCGTTTACTTGGGGTATTCACACTTTTTTCTTACTTATTTTATGCTTGTAAAAGTAAGAAAAATCCCTTGGCCTGTTTTGGAGGTTAAACATTTGTTGTTACTGTTTTTCAGGATTAGTTGTGGTTTATTACCTAAATTATAACTATTAAAATTACACTTAGGACGCTTTTTTCCTCTTTAAAATATGTAAAACAATGCTTAAACTTGCTTTATAACCCATTTTAAACCTATTAAATTTGAAATTAAAATGACATTTCAAAATGCGCATGCGTGGTCGGTTTTGGTAGCTGGCCTGCTTTGGTAGCTAACATTACGCCAATTCTTACAACTCGTGTTATAGAACCAAACTCATACACATTTTTTTAACCATTGTATAACGTTTTATAACAATCCCTTATAAAATTATTTTAAAAGAGTTTGTTATACCTATTCTTATACTTGTAGTTTCAAACGTTTTTATGATAGTTGTAATAGAAATTTGTATAAAAGTTGTATTGAAGCTCTATAAGATACATTAAAAAATTGTTTTTTTTTAAGCAGAAGTAAACACACTACACAATAAGTATAAAGTTATTTTATAATTATCCTATAACTAGGTACATACCTACAAAAATGAATTTTCTTGAAAAAAATTAATGTAATCTTAAGACTAGTCAATTATAAACTGAACAAATAAAACAATAATATTCTTAAAAAACATGAAACTTTGTCAAATAAAAAATTAATTTTTTTTTTTTAAATAATTTTTAGTAGGTATGTTTGTTAACTGGCGCTTTAATTTTTCGTTAAAAATATATACATATATTGTCAGAAAAGATTGCTCCGCAGGAAGATGTTGTCCTCGATAGCGTAAATCTCAAAGGTTTAATAATTATATTTTACATAATAAACAACAAGCACCATTTTGGATCTTAGCCGTTAGACATCCAACATAATTCGCATTATAAAATAGTCTTAGGAATAAAAATTTCCCACTCCATTCCTAATTTCTAGAGAAGGAAACAAATTGATGTTCTTATAACGATTCTGTCGCATTATAACATACTTATAAAATGCTTGTTTTAATATTCTATAAAATATTCGTAAAGTGCAATTAAGCTGCAGAGTAAAACCGCTATAGTATAATCGTATAGCAGTTCCCAGTATACTGATACTGAGTTTTATAAGGGTTGTGTAGTGTATTTATATAACTGCTAACGAAGTAAAACTGTTTTATAAAACGGGGCCCCTTTTTGGTTGAGTAAGTGTTGTATAGTAGTTTTTAAACGCATTTATACAATTTTAGCGTTTCTATAATATGTGTTGTATAGCAGTTCTAACAAACACTTACATAATCAATTTTGTTAGCTGGGATTATTATAGTTTAAGGTTATTATTTTTATGTTAAAAAATAGTTAGTATTTTCTATTATTTTACTTATAATTTATAGGTAGGTACAGTGGGAAAAACCCTATTTTTTATTAAATTATTTTTTTGTTACTTTTCGTTTATAAATAATTTAAAAAATCCATGTCCACCGGATGTATTATTCTTTTATTTACAATATAAAACCATGTAAAAAATACCTGAAAATCAGGGGACCAAAGTAAGGATTTTCGCGGGGGGGCCCGAAAATTTGTCGCTACGCCACTGTGAGTTAAAAGTTAAATATTTTATTAATTAATCAATGTAAATAGATAAAATAGTGTAATAAATATCTGTGTTCTTTTCATGAGCAAATAGAATCTGACCCAGGTATACATAGAATTTTTGACTCAAAGGTAAAAAATTCGCATATTTCATCAGAAATAGCTATACATAATTTGGAATGCAAATAACTTTGCTCGTTGCATTTTTATGTGAGTAAAATGGCACACATTTTATAAAATATTTACAAAACTTCTTTTTAAATTCGAATTCAACTCGACGCATAGTTTGAATTTAAATATTTCTTTGCCATTTAAGTTTCGATTTTGTAGCAAACATAGTTTACTATTTGGTTTTTTTATATTTAAAACTGTTTTAAAAAAATAGTTACCTACCTATATCAAACGCTCTTTTTTAGGTTTAAAATCGATTATAGCGGTAATGAGTCTGTAATCGTGTGAAAATCTTTTATTTCGCACGCCAAAGTGTGTACCTCATCCATCAAATTCACTTTTAATAGATTTGGTGTGTCATTTTGATATTGCCAAACCTGAGTTCGTTTTTTTATTTACACTTACCGAAAAGATATTTTTTTACACCTAAAAACTTATAATATAATATTGAGTTTTAAAGTAAACTTTCTGTATGAAATTGTCAGTTTAAATATTAAATTAAAATTTTTAAATGCTTAAAATAAACAAAAGCAATACCAACTGAATAATAATAATAAAATGTAATATTTATTTATTAACTTAAATTCATTTACCTAATTGCTTTTATTTTATTTTTTATGTAAAATATAAGTAAATAAGTTGGCTTTGTATTAATGGTCTGGCTCTTTTTAAGAACTGTCAAACTTAAAATTTATTAAAATAAGTGTTCATTGTTATGTCAGTTTAACGTTTATCAAAAGAAGGTAAGTTATTATTTGTTAAATTAATTGTTTTAATTGACATGCCCATTTGTCCCACCCGCGGGTGGACGCGTCCCTAAAAAAGCAAAAGCAGATTTTAATAGGAAATAAAGTCAATAATATCAAATATTTGGGGGTTATTTCAAGTCTAAAATAAAATTAGATAAAATTAAAACTGACCCTATGACATATGAAGAATTTTTAAGAAATGAAAGAACTAGGGATATGAAAGAAGTGCTGAAAGAAAAAAGAACCTATTGAAAAATACAGAAGCTTTAAACGCTGACTGTGTGGCTAAATAAGGTCAAAGAAAAGATTCCGTATGCTATTTTAAGTAATAATTTATCTCTCGACAAGTCTTCAGTCTGGACTTATACAAAGAAAATAGTTTCCCATTTAAAAATGTAATGCTCCACTTCAGAACATAAAACACTTTTTACTGACGGTTGTGCTGGGCAATTTAACAATCGATAATCTTGTCCAATATATTAACACGCCTCATGATTGGGGTGTAAGTGTTGATTGGGCAAGAATGTTTTGACTATTTAAAAAATCTTTAAAATGTATTATTTTTTGTACATACCTACTATGGAGATAAGAGAGGCTGGCGCAAATTTAGCAGACAAATGGAGGGATAAAAAACCCATACCTAATCTCCATTTACAAAATTTTTTAGATCTAAAAATGAAAATCTTTTACATTGTGTAACAGTAGATTGGGCCAAAAAATCGGCTATTTTTTGTAAAGTATATCGAAAATATTGTTTGGAGTGAGAAAAAAAATTATTGTGAAAAATAATACTAATATTAAGAGGTCTATCATCGCAATTTTAGATCTTAATGCCTTAAAAATAATAATGACTTCATTATAACACCGCTTTCGGTGCTGTAATAAGATATTTTATCCCACCCAAAATTTTGATTTTATAGGTTGGCTATACTTTAAACAGCATAATATTTTGCGTATTGGTTATAATATTTTTATGATTTTTCTAGTACTTACGACACTTTTCTGGCAATAAATTTTGTTTAACACCAAAGACAATCCTTTTTTTTCTTCTTTAACATTAACAGCCTCTTATTTACAATTGTAAATAAGTAAATTAAGGACGGCATGGCGAATCGATTTTGACATTAACTGTCAAACCAATGACTGTAATACCAACTACACTCACAGGCAAAATAATCGATCCACACAAATTTTCGATGAATTTCAATAGCAAATAACTTTTTTATTTGATGTCGGATTTAAACGATTATAGAATATTGTAGAAACATTAATGGAGAATCGCTCACATTTTAAAAATTACTAAAAAATACACGTGCGTTTATAATATACAGGTTTAAACAAAAAGATGTTTTTTACCATAAGTTTAAGACACTCTGTAGAGTGGCAAAACCGTATATTGTTCTAAATTAAGTTTTAATTATTAAGTCACATCTATTTTTAACAGTTTTGTTTTTGGTTCGCCTTGATATATTTATTTTTGTGGAAAATATGGATTTTTTTAAAAAAACATTGCAATTTCTAATATTTTTCCTGTATGGAGAACTAAGGTTGCTATGGTCCATCCATAGCCTATGGAGGGTACGTCTATTTTTTAGTAATTTTTTAAAATATGAGCGATGGTCCATTAATTTATCTACAATATTTTTTAATATTCGTTTAAATCCGACATCAAATAAAAAAGTTATTTGCGATTGAAATTCATCGAAAATTTGTGTGGATCGATTATTTTGCCTGTGAGTGTATCTAATGTAAAATTCGACCAAATTAAATTTAAGGTATAAACTTAATTTTTTTGCAAACTAGCATAAAGAACTTATGTCATAAGACCTTTTGTCGCACTTGTCCATTGCAAAACTATAAATTGTCCGCGTGCAACTAAATGATATTAGTTCTTTAATATACTATTATAAAACTAAAAAAGTTTATAAAACCAAATAGTGTTACAAAAAACTTTTATTGTTTATTTAGATGTATGGGTTTACAATTTTTTTTAACACTTGATTATCCTTATTTTTGCTAACCATAAATCTCATCTCGCACTCCGGACCATAATTTCAAACAGCGCCTGCGTCGACGTCGCGGCGCGCCGCCTCCCATTCAAAACAAAACACTCTAGAAACGCGCTAACATTAACAAAAGCGCGCGAACCGCAAGTCCATGGAAGATGTGATAAACGCGCCGCCCGAAACGCGTCCGAAACACGCACGAAAATGAACAACACCACGGTCTACTGCGATTTCAGGCAGTTCAGCAGGAGCTACGAAGAAATCCACGGCCCGCTCAGCTTTCTGGTGTGCGTTTTCGGCTCCATCGCCAACATCCTCAACATTTGCGTGTTGTCCACGAAAGAGATGCGATGGCCCACCAACTTGATTTTGACAGGGTTGGCCGTGGCGGATTTGCTGGTGATGCTGGAGTACATTCCCTTCACCGTGCACAGGTATCTGGATAACGGCGCCAAAAAGTACGTGTCTCACTACAGTTACAACTGGGGCTCTGTTCACGGTGTTTCATGCGTCGTTCAGCCAAATTTTTCACTTCATTTCGTGCGTGTTGACGGTGATTTTGGCGATATGGAGGTACATCATCATCACAAACCCACAAAATAGCAATGCTTACTGCAGCATGAAGCAGACCTTCTACGTGATAGTTGCAACGTACATCGTGTGCCCTATAATATGCTCCCCGTTATTCCTATCGCTGAAAATACTGTCCTACAACCAAACCTGCGAACCAGACGGCAGGATAATCAACAAGGAACACCTCCATCTCTTCAACAACACCGAAAGCAGTGTTATTTATTACACGGACTATATCAGCGACACCTACAAGCAGAGCAGTTTTTGGATATACGGGGTGGTGATCAAGTTAGTGCCCTGCATCCTGCTGACGCATCTGTCCCGCAGGATTATTTCCGTTCTTCTGGAGACCAAACGCAGGAGGAAGCTCTTGATGAACGGGAACGTTACGATGAACAGTAGTGACGTGAGGCCGGTTCTGAGCAAAAAACTTTCACAAAGATCGACAAGCTGATAGAACCAGCGGCATGTTGGTGGCCATTTTGTTGTTGTTTCTGCTGACTGAGTTTCCTCAAGCCATTTTGGGGCTGTTGAGTGCCACCAAGGGCGCGCAGTTCGAGAAGGAGTGCTACATTCCTTTGGGTGAGTGATTTTAAGCTGTACAAGTTTTTTGACATTTTTTTTACTATACCAAGACTATCTTCATGGGTGTATTGCACACCATTTCCAGGACTGTATTTCATATATGTATACTAGGGTGATTCATTTCCGCAAAGTTTTTGTTTTTTTTCGGTGCTCAAGCAAAATATTAATCTGCATATAGGAAAAAACATTCTCACCAAGTTTGAGCTCTTAATATTAATTTTAAGCACTTACCATTTAAATTTAAAGTTTTACCGTTTAAAACGCATGTAAAAAATATATATTTTTTTTCAAATTTCTAAAGCTTACCCACCTTTGACAATATTGCAAATCGGTTTAATACACCTTATGGGGAATTTCACGCTCTTTAAAATTGCTTTTGAGTTTTTTTTGTAACTCGCATTGGTTCACCAGTAGGAGTCGTCAAAGGACAGTTTTTAAAAAAAATCGTTTTTTTTTTTCGAGCAAATCGCCAAAAGTAGTAAGAAAAAAGTTATCCAACCAATATTTAATGAATTTACTGCCATTTTTATAACTGAAAACGTAAGAAATTGATAAATACCAACCCATAATGTTATTTAGATTGATTTTTTCTATTTATTATCATTATTTTTCCCTACACTAAGAACTTTTTTAAAATCATTATGATTTCTCACTCATAATGAATATGAAAACAACACATAAATTCATAAAAAAAACAACAAAACTTTAATCGGAATATACAGAAGGTTATGTAACATATTTCAAATTTCGCTTTAAAAAATTAAATAATCTTCATTTATATTTTTTTGCTATATGACAGAAATGTTGAAAAATTGCAAAATCCACGTTACAATTTTCTTATTGTTTTTTTTATGAATTTATCTGTTGTTTTCATATTCATTATAAGTGAGAAATCAATAATTTTAAAAAACTTTTTAGTGTAGGAAAATATAATGATAATAAATAGAAAAAATCAATCTAAATAACATTATGAGTTGGTAATTATCAATTTCTTACGTTTTCAGTTATAAAAATGGCTGTAAATTCATTAAATATTGGTTGGATAACTTTTTTTTATGATTCAGCCCTTTTTTCTCCCTACTTTTTGCGGTTTGTTAGAAAAAATTTAAATAAAAAACCGAAGAAAACAAAAACTTTGCGGAAATGAATATTATGTATACATTTTGAAGACATTCTATGGAAACTCTTTAAATGGAGATACTATAGCAGAAGGTATACCTTAACAATGATCGATTGAACATTTTTAAGTAAATTAAATTATTTTAAAAACTATTTAATAATATATTTTGCTGTTTTATCTATTTTGCAAAAATTTTACTTTAGATAGTTGGTATCAGTTATTGTCAAAATCGATTCGCCATGCCGTCCTTAATTTACTTGTTTACAATAAGCGGCTGTTATTAACAGCCTGTTAATGTTAAAGAAGAAAAAAAGGATTTTCTGTGGTGTTAAACAAAATTTATTGCCAGAAAAGTCTCGTAAGTACTAGAAAAATCATAAAAATATTATAACCAATATGCTAAATATTATGCTGTTTAAAGTATAGCCAACCTATAAAATCAAAATTTTGGGTGGGATAAACTATCTCATTACGACACCGATAGCGGTGTTATAATGAAGTCATTATAAGCTCAAAATGGATAAAATATTATTTTGAAATTTTTACTACCAGTTGTAATTATTAATTCTCTTGACTTTGTACTAATTTTAATTTAATTGGATCAATGTGGCGTTTTATATTGATTGAAATATAAAAATCTTGTAAACGTAGATCAAAAATTACATTATTTTGTAAACTTTTTAACGCACCTTTAACAAATGTTGACAAATGTTTTGTGGGTAGTTTTATATAATTTAGATTAATATTTAATCTAAATTTAGGGAAAATTTTCGGAAATCGTTATATTTAATTACAGTGGTAGTGCAGTTTACTATAGTATATATAGTTATCTATAGATTTAACAGATAAAGCGTTAAAAATGTTGCGTACATTGCCCATTAAACATTCTGTTCTCTTTTACTGTAAAAACTGCTTCTATATCTATTTTCGAGGGATAAATTTTGATTTACACAAAAAATTGAGATTTTAACGCCGGTAGATTCCCAAGTTGAGAAATTTAAACGGGAATTCCAATAAATACAACTGTCACTTTTTGTACCATTAACATTTCCCTGTAAGAATGTTTAATACTTTGCAATTATAATAATGAAAAAAAAAAGGAAAAAATATTTTCTTAACATAATCATATTTTGAAGATATTTTTATATTTTAAATTATCAATAATTGTTACGTTTAATAAAAATGATAACGGGCAATGTAAATGGTGAAAATTACGTCAAAAATGTTTATTGGGATGGTTACTTTATTTTCGTATAGATGGCGCTTTATACAAATATTTAATTTAAATCATTTTTTAGATAATATTAAGTAGTTGTCGAAAAGAAAGTATAGTCTGTAACTTGTTTATAAACTTTTACAGGCACTCATTTAATTAAGCACTCGCTCGCAAGCTTGCTTGTGCCTAAATTAAATTCGTGTATAAAATGGCGTTTATTATTAAACTTGATACATAATATACTATTATAATTCATATTACCTAATTATATAAAAATGTGAGCATTGCATAATAATAAAAAATCAAATCATAAAATTTCTGACGACAGTATTGCGTTTTAAAGCTCACACTATATAAACCCAATTACATTCCTACGATATTCGTAACTAGGATTTTAATCATATACGAGGGTAAGAATAAGTATAAAAATTAATAAAATAAAAAAATAATAAAAAAAAACAGTCACAGGGGCTAAATTTGGAGAAGCCTAATTGCCAAGTTTTTTACATGTTTTTATGCAAAATCGTAACAAAGATGACTACGGTATTAGGCTAAGACCAATCTCATACGTCAATCCTTTGATCTTCCAACGACCTGGTATTAAATAATTTATATTCTTTTTCATTTACGTCAAAAAAGTTAAGATAATCAAACCAATAGCTTTAAAAGGTTTTTATTCAAATCAACCTATGAATAGACAATTTTTTACATAAGGTATAATTTATTAGCCTAAGTTATAAAAACCTCTATTTTAAGGATTCGAATGAACTTTGCTGTTTTGTTATTAGTAACCTTTGTGAATAGGTAATTAATTATACTGTGGATTTTTTTGTATTGTTTATTAAAAAACTGTTAATTTCAACAACGCATTTATCATCATACAATAGTATATTATGTATCAAGTTTAATAAACGCCATTTTATATACGTTAAATTCGTATTAGAAATCTGTGTGTCACCGTCAAATGTAATTTTTTTTTATTTTATAAACACAGATTAAAAAGGTTATAAATCGAAATGTATTTCTTGAAAATTGACAGTTTTTCACAGTGAAAGTAAAGAAAATGTTTTATGAGCACTTTACAGTGGAGTCCGTGCCCGAATTTAAGTTATAGTTTACTGCCGGCGAAATTATAAGGTCAGTACAATGTTAATAAAAACTTTTCAAATATTGGCGTTGAGAAACTATTTAATACTTTTGTATTTTTGTATTGAGATAATAAAATAATTTTCACATTTAGTATTATTTTACAAGAAAGGCACTTTATTTTAAAGATTGTATGACATTTGACAACTGTCAACTAATTTAAAACTAACTTCAGCCCGTGACTAAAAACCTGTTGCTAACTTCAGCCCGTGACTAAAGCTCCATAAAGCCACAACTTGTCAATGTGTATTTTTTCTAATTTGACAAATTCAACTAAAACCTTTAAACCAAATTATGTTTTTAAGATCTGGTGTTAAAATATTAATATTCTTCAAGCCTTCTATAATTTATTTACGCTTTATTATTGTCAACGCCCACTAAAAAAGTTATTGATTAAGGCAAGAAAAATAATTTTGGCCAATCAGTTGCAGTTTTTGAAATTCGATAACTTCTGACAGCTCTGAAGCTATCTAACCTCACTTTACACTTAATTGTTATTGTAATTGTAACTACGTTTTATGTATCGTTTAACTAAATAACTAATTAAATAAGTGTCTAGGAAAGTTTATAAACGAGTTGCATATTTTTTATTTTAATGTTGAAAACTCAATAAAACAAGTATAAAACCAATAAACCACTCATAAAACCAATTAAATTAAACAAATTATTTTATCTTCGTATATTTGATTAATATAACTTTTTGGAGCAATAAAATTAATGTTTATACTAGATGTAGTTCACATTTAATTATCATTTATTATTTCAACGTTAAAAATGTCTTTTAATTATAAATAAATATTTATAAAAAAAAATGTATTTTAATCATGTTTTATTTACTTTATTTTGTTTAGTTAAAATTAAATATCGGAACTTTTGGTTTAAATTAGCGAGTTTTGTTTTCTTGTTTCAAAGTTTGAAAGCGTATCGATCCAATGCACTGGAAGACTTCTTATTTTAACTTTCCGGTCTTAATACAACTTAATATATTCCGATTTTTTATAGAAAAATAACACCCCTTATAAAGTATATAGATTTTATTCTTTTAAGTTTTAATTAAGTTAGTCTGGATGATTTAAAAGTTTGTTACTTAAGTTAAATGATAAAAAATGTTTCGTAACGAGATATACGTTTATAACCATTTTACTTTATAAAGAAAAGTAATCAATTTATATTTAAATCCGTTTTTATTTTATCTCAAAAATGTAAATTTTTCGGATATCATATTTAATAAAAATTATAATAAAAATTCAATTTAATTTCCTTGTCTGCTCTTTAAGGCGCTTTTGGTTTCATGCAGTTGAGTTTTATACAGAATTTTACTAGGAATGTTTGCATACAGTTTTTATTTTTTTGGTTGAATTAAAGTAATAGCAAACAGTTGTTAACT